GGGAGCGATACGAAAAAGTCTGTTTTTTTGAATTTTCAGTTCGGATTTTCAGAGAGCTCTCATTGGCTTTCTATTGGGGAAGTGTGGACTTCTTCGTGGTCTGGGTCAAACTGTCGGAAAACCGTAAATGCCACACAAATGAGGGTTACATTTCCTGAATCCTGACAAAAATCCCTACGTTTTGATGTAAAATTTATCTAGATAGAGTAAAAAATGAGCGAGTGAGTTGAAGCTGTTCGGCATGAGTGAAATGTTTGAAAACGCTAGAGTGGCACACTCTAGCAGCTGAACATTCCGTCCATAGACTTCCATTATAAATTTGAAAATCTGTAAAAAATGTTTAAAAGTTTGAAGCTTCACTGAAGCAAAACTGTAAAAGTTAGCTGAAAGCCGAGTTAAACAGTAATAGCAGAAAGATACGGAAACATTTTAAAAGTTGAATGGTGTTTCTAGCTGAAAGTATGCTGAAGTAGTTAAAGGGCAAAGTAGCTGAAGATTTAGTGGAATTTTTGAAGTTTTACATGCATTTCAATGGGGCCAAAAATCGCAGAAAAAGCTGAATATCGCGAAAACTACGAACAATATCTTTACCAAAAGTCATAGCAGAATTCTCCTGAACAAGCTGAACGTTTTGATACCAAATTTGTTTAAATCAGCTGAAAACTGTTGAACTAGTTAAACGAAGAAAAACCTACGGAATAATAATAATAATAATAACTAGAAAAAGCTGTTTCGGAGAAACATCAAAGTGGGAATGCTTTTGCTGAATGAAAAAAGCTGAAATTACCTGAAGAACATATGAAAATGTGATAGGAAGTCATCAGAAACTTCAAACTGCAGAAAACAATTGAATCATCTGAAGATTTTGTAGGGTAGAATCATTTGGCAGTAAAATGGCAGAAACAAACTCATCTTAAAAGCTGCACAGCCAAACCATACATGATATCAAAAAATGTCTTGAATGTGGGCACTAGAAGGGTCTTAATATAATGTCTCCCAAGTTTCTAGAAAAATGTATAAAGAAATTTTGAAGGGGGGTTTACCTACTTTCCAGAAACATGTCAGGCGTGTTATGAATTAGCAGCAAACAGAAAAGCTTAATTCCTGTCCAGAAAGAGAGCAGAATGAAGCCAAAGTTCACAACATAGGCTGAAAAGTATGAAATTAGCTGAAGTAGAAAAGAAATTACAAAGAAAAACTTGAATCTTATCTGGTTGAAGAAAAAATTAGTAGCTTAAGGATGGGAAGTAAAATGTTGAGGAAGATGGTATTGAATAAGTATCAACATTTTGAAATCATATGTGGAAATGTCAAGACTTGGCAAAACAATTTGAAATTATTTAAAATGTGTCGGTTGATCAGCATAAAGAAAACAGTGTCATCCTTAGAGGATTGAAAATCTACAAACCTATGTGCAAGACTGACCATGAGAAGCAGAGGAAGGACAGAGAGAGAAGCTTATAGAAAGAGAGCTAATACCACTTAAGGAGCTGAATTTATCAAAAAAACTAACCTGCATGTTAAGAGCCGCTGTGGTGATGAAAGCACCGTTGGCAGGCTTAGGCTGCATGTTACGAGGTTAGCAGATGCTTTATTACAGTGTAAATCTTAGAACCTGATTAAGAAATATGCACTGAGGTGTGTGGTCAACAGGCCTTGGTAGTGTAATTTGAAGAAATTGGTTGAGTTTGGGTCATAGCTACGAGCCATACGGCACAATGAATGAGTGTGTGTAAGGAAGAGGCTTTTATTTTGTAGAGTCCCTTTAGTCTTATTTTGAAAGTCTATCATGGATGTGTGTCAAGGGAAGGGTCATGCCCAGCAGTGATATAGAATCCATTTCTAAATATGAAATCACTGGTTTTCCATGTTATTGGGTGAATAGATGCTGTATTAGAGCATAAATGGGAGACTTTTATTGTGAAATTCACTCTGGGGTATGTTTTGAAAAGGTCCCTAGAGTCTAATAGAAACAAGCTGGTAGAGTTTGGGTCATAATGCTGAGCCATTTGCATCAATTAATACGCGAGTATAATATAGAGGCTTTTATTTTGTAGGGTCACTGGAGTCTTATTTTGAAAGTCTAGCAGGGTTGTGTGTTGAGAAAAGGGTCAGACCCAGCAGTGATACTTGATGACTTTCCAATCGTTAAATCACTCTTTTCCCTTGTTATTAGGGCAGTAGATGAAGTGGCAATGGGAGGCTTTTATTTTGAAATTTGCTGTGGGGTGTGTTTTGAAAACCCCCTAGAGTCTCATTTTTAAAAAAGTGGTTGAGTTTGGGTCATAATGTTGAGCCATATGCTGGGAAAAAAATATGAGTTTAATGTAGGGGCTTTTATTTTGAAGGGTCCCCGGAGTCTTATTTTGAAAGTCTATCAGGGTTGCGTGTGAAGGGAAGGGTCATGGCCAGTAGTCATATTGTATCCACTTCCTAATGTTAAATCAGTGTTGTCTCCCTCCATTAGATTAAAATGTGCTGTTTAAAGTGGTGGAGGTAAAATCTCTTTGAAGCACGGTTACCTTGACAACGTTAACGAGCCTGTCAGTGACAGAGAGACATGCGCTTCACTTTCGTTCCTTTCCTCTCAGGCTTTTTTGAATGGGAATATCAGCTCCGAACAAACGAGTGCTGAAGACAAACCGTAAATGGTATCTAAAAAATTCTTTCAGTCTAAGCGAGAGCTATCCTTTGTCTCCAATTGGGGTAACTTTCATGGCTGTAGCTCATTCACAACCTTAATGGGAAGGAGGAATAAAAAGGTTTGAGAAATCCTGCTGGTCTCATTGAATAACATGCAGCACAATGGTAGAGCAGAACTCTCAAAAGCAAAACTTTCCCTCCGAACAAACGAGCGGTGAGCCAAAACCGTATTAGGTATTCAAAAAATTCTTTCACCGTGAGCGTCAGCCATCTTTGGACTACAACTGGTGTAACTTTCATATTTCTACAATATTTCGTCTAGGCGTGGTGACGATGTAAAAAAGTGTATAATTGTCAAAATCTTGATTTTGGGGTTCGGACAGATTTGTTACCCCCGAACAAACCTTTTTCCTAGCTAAACGATAAAAGATATCGACACACTTCCTTCAATGTGAGTGCTAGGAAGGTCTGAGGAACAACTTCACCAAGGCTCATGTTGCTACGTCGAACGGTTCCCGAATGGGAGCGATACGAAAAAGTCTGTTTTTTTGAATTTTCAGTTCGGATTTTCAGAGAGCTCTCATTGGCTTTCTATTGGGGAAGTGTGGACTTCTTCGTGGTCTGGGCCAAACTGTCGGAAAACCGTAAATGCCACACAAATGAGGGTTACATTTCCTGAATCCTGACAAAAATCCCTACGTTTTGATGTAAAATTTATCTAGATAGAGTAAAAAATGAGCGAGTGAGTTGAAGCTGTTCGGCATGAGTGAAATGTTTGAAAACGCTAGAGTGGCACACTCTAGCAGCTGAACATTCCGTCCATAGACTTCCATTATAAATCTGAAAATCTTTAAAAATTCTTTAAAAGTTTGAAGCTTCACTGAAGCAAAACTGTAAAAGTTAGCTGAAAGCCGAGTTAAACAGTAATAGCAGAAAGATACGGAAACATTTTAAAAGTTGAATGGTGTTTCTAGCTGAAAGTATGCTGAAGTAGTTAAAGGGCAAAGTAGCTGAAGATTTAGTGGAATTTTTGAAGTTTTACATGCATTTCAATGGGGCCAAAAATCGCAGAAAAAGCTGAATATCGCGAAAACTACAAAAAATATCTTTACCAAAAGACATAGCATAATTCTCCTGAACAAGCTGAACGTTTTGATACCAAATTTGTTGAAATCGGCTGAAAACTGTTGAACTAGTTAAACGAAGAAAAACCTACGGAATAATAATAATAATAATAATAAATATAAACAGAAAAACAATAAGTGGGAATGCATAAGCATTCCCACTTGATAATAACTAGAAAAAGCTGTTTCGGAGAAACATCAAAGTGGGAATGCTTTTGCTGAATGAAAAAAGCTGAAATTAACTGCAGAACATATGAAAATGTGATAGGAAGTCATCAGAAACTTCAAACTGCAGAAAACAATTGAATCATCTGAAGATTTTGTAGGGTAGAATCATTTGGCAGTAAAATGGCAGAAACAAACTCATCTTAAAAGCTGCACAGCCAAACCATACATGATATCAAAAAATGTCTTGAATGTGGGCACTAGAAGGGTCTTAATATAATGTCTCCCAAGTTTCTAGAAAAATGTATAAAGAAATTTTGAAGGGGGGTTTACCTACTTTCCATCCTACTTGAAGATGAACACCTAATCGGTCTAAAGTCTTTTGTGGCCTCTCATAGGTTTTCTCTAGCGCTACCATGTGTTTATCTTCACACATTTATCTGTGGCCAATTTCTTCACTAAGGGTGGACTGGGAAAAAATTCAAGCTGGGATTCTTTTCAATGACTCAGACCATCACAACCCAACTAACAGAACTATCAACCACTTAAAATGAACATGTTAAATAATACATATTTGTAAAGGTAATTGTCTACAGATCGTCTTAAATTAGCTTAAACAAATTAACCTAAAATGTAACCTCAATATTGATCAGGATGCTACTTCCAATGATTCAAGATGTCCAAAGTAGATCTTGCCTGACCAGAGCTCAGTATATTATTAACAGGACCATACCCAGAAGGGGATATGAGGATATACTTCGACTATAAAGCTGAGCTATTGTTAATGAATTGCTTTGTAGGATTATAGTGAAAAAATTGTTATTCTGTGTATGTTTGCAGCTTTTGTTGTTTATAGATGCTTAAACTCCCTCCTCCTCATTGGTTATAATTCATAAAGAATTGGCTGACACAAACTAAAGTGGTGCTCTGACTTATGCCGTTTAACTAAAAGACAATCTCCTTGCCAATAATTGATGCAGTACACAGTTTGTGATAATATGCATTTGTATGTTTAATTATCTGTTTTATTTACAAAGTTTATCATATATAAGTACTTATACATATATTTTGTAGGTATGCTGAACTTCAGACATACTCAGAACTGAACTTCCACCCGATAGAGGATGGGCACTGTGACGTCATTATTGAAAAGCCAACCATTTTCATGAAACTTGATGCTGGTAAGCCACTAACTGATTCAATTTCAGCTCTGGTGATGAAATGAACCAACTATCTATGCTAAGATTTAAGTATGTGCATCTCAGTGTTTTAGTTTGCTTAATTTAGACTCAAGAAAAAATATTTCACATTTTGAGAGCAATAATTGGATTCAAACTGGCTTTTTGTAGTGACCAGTGTGTTTTTTATTCTCTGTTTTCCTAAGAAACAGAGAAAATAGAAAAATACTTTAATATTTTGGGTCATTATATAAACCAAAAAAATATTATGTACCATAAAAGTGCTCCTTTTCTTTGTTTCAACAGGGGTGAACATGTACCACCATTTTTGTGACTTTGTAAATCTCTACATTTCTCAGCACATTAACAACTCCTTTAGCTCAGACATCAACATCGTCATGTGGGACACAGTGAGTACCATTACCACTTATCTGGAGATAAGGTTTAATAATCATATTTTAATTGACCCTAGGGTGAAGTAGAACATTTAAAAGTAATGACTAACATTTGCTTACACAAATGACATAATTCAAATACAGGAACAATGAGGCTGTGGTTTAGTTCTAAAAGTATTTTTAAAGTGGTAGGGAAACGGCTGTTCCAATGGTTGCATTTCCGAATTCTCCCGTGTACCACGGAAAAAATATAACGGAAAAAACCCCACAGATTTTAAGACAGGATTTTATTTTTAAATAGAAATGTTCTTAATTTTGGGAAAATATCATCTGATAAAGAGTACATTTATATACTTGTTTAGGCCAGAATAATTTGACATAAATGATTTCCCTACGACTTTAATGGTTTAAATACACAATGTCGGAAGTTAAAGACAGGTAGACATTTTTTTCAGTTCTGTGTGCTTTAGAGACCCAATTAAACAAGGAATGACCATTTTGATAACTGGTATTGACAATTATTGAAATTTAAGGAAAAGTATGGACCAACTGAATCTGAAAAACAAGTAATTTCCAAGTCCGTAGAAGTATCCAAAGAGGAAACAAATGCAGTACAATATTTGTAATTTAGATTATTAGAATTCAGAAAAATTTATGGAAAAAAAACTCTTAATTTATATATGTTAATTATTAATTTTGGTTTTTTTTTTCAGAGCTTTTATGGATATGGTGATCTGTTCAGTGAAACATGGAGAGCCTTTACAGATTATGACATCATCCACCTGAAGACATATGACTCAAAAAGAGTAAGTCTGTTATTAGTTTTGTGTTAAATAGCTTTTATTTATATAAAAGCTCTTTGTCTAGAGAAATGTAATTTCTCATAAATTGTATGAACACAACATAGAAGATAAATATATTTACAGATTTTATACACCAGTCTACTTTACATGAATTTAATCCTACAAAATTTAGAATATTTCTTAGCAAATCAGTTCTATCTTAAAGTACAGCTAATAAGCATGTTGATTTGCAAATTATTGATGCAAAACATTTAGCAAGTTTGAAAGGATTTGAATACCTTAGTAAGTAATGCCTGCTTTAAAGAATTGCATGAATGTGGCAGATTGATTTATAGTTTTTCATACCCTTATAGGTGTGTTTTAAAGATTCATTCTTCTCCCTTCTTCCAAGAATGAGATATGGTCTCTTCTACAACACACCGCTGGTAAGCTACTTTAAATTAAAATAGATATATTTTAAATAAGAACACATACACTTAATATTACTCTTTTTTATTTATTTTATGTGATGCCTCCAAAACATGAACTATAGCTATGTTTGCATACATAAGGATTTGGAATAAAGACCCGATTAGAATAAAAATGCTTCATGTAACAACGGCAATCAGAATATTATGAAAGGATTCAGCTCAGTCGGGGTGAAATTGTATTCCAATAAAGAGGCGCTGATCTAGAATCTGATCTACTGCCATCCACTTTCTGATTTCATCTTTCGGTTTCCTTCCACTCCCTCATTCTGTGACACAGGACTGAGAACAGTCAGAGCCAACGCCCCTTCACATTTGTGTTTGGAGGTTCTAAGGATGCATTTGAAAATCATGTGACTTGGAAGATTTAAAGATTTGAAGCACTTCTAGTAATTGCTACTGCATGCCAGCAGCCTGTGGATTATGTTGTTTGAAAAATATGGTGTCAATTTAAATCGAAATTAACTTTAAATAACACCCTGATTTAATGTATAATCTTTACCAACATATGTGGGCTGACTGTAATTGTTTCAGTTTAATGACTATCATTGTTATTGTTAGTTGCTGGTCTGTCCCCAGCATTAGCACAACAATATCAGTTTCAGTTTGAAACATGCAGTTTGCATCAAATATTTATGTAATATATTCAAAACCTCAGCAGATGCCATGTGCTCAGGTTATTTAAATGATAATTTCAAGGAGATCACTATAAAGATGATAGCATATAAATATTTGTTGTCCTGTAGTTTCAGCCTTGAGGTGTGAAATATTGCTAGGTCAGCCTCACACTGAAGCTGATTGCCTCTGCAGCATATGTCATGTTTTTATTCATGTGTTCACATTTAGACATACTCTGCACCATGAAATCTAAGACTTGTATCAAATGGATGGCCTCATTGGAAATTCATTTCACAGAAATATATGTTGTATATTTGTCTGGCTAGATGTAAAGAGTCTAAGGTTTTCCTCAAAAGTACACTCTGAAGAATATCTTTCTTCAAGGACTATAAATACCTAGATTCAAATAATTGATGTCAAAGAGTAAAAGTGTATCTATGTGACGGAATGGATCTGTGTGTTGTGCTGATTGTAGGTCACAGACTGCCACACTGAAGGGATGTTTAGAGCGTTTTCTCAGCACGTGCTGCATCGGCTTAACATCCCACAAAAGGGACCAAAGGTAGGTGTAGTTTTTATGCAGTACTAAAATACTGTTTTTATATATCTGCTTTATTTTTATTTGGTCCTGCAGGTGAAACACATGTGCAGCTGATTAAATAATTCAGCATTATCAACTAATTTTTCTTCAGAGGCGTAATCAAAATACAAAAAAAAAACATGTTTGATCTTGGTTCATTGGATTGCTGAAGGTTACTGACTATTATTTATGAAGCGTTAACATTTGTCCAAGTCCACAGACAGTTTGTAGAAATAGAAATTTTTTCACTCTCTGCATTAAGAGACTGTGTTAAAATACTTACTTGCTCTTTCGTAGCCTGTTGTCTCTGATCAGCTAAACAATGTACACATATCTCCCATTTGCTGCAGTTTTTAATCCCACCAGTGATGAGGAACCTGTTTAGAACATCACACCATATTGTTGCTTCGGTGCACTCTTTCACGTTCTGCCTACTCATCTAATTCTACGTTCACACCTAACGTGCTTTGGGTAGCAGAAGCAGCCACTCTATGTGCAAAGTCTATGGTTGGACGCGCATCAAAAGGTCATGCAGCGTGTCTAGAGCAGCAGGAGCAGTTCATCTTGACTAGGGATGCAAATTATCGATTAATTCATTAATCATTAGTTGATTATCTTATCGATCGACTTTCGATTAATTGATAAGCAGCGTTTTTCACCTGAGTTTCAGGGCTTCAATAGGGCCTTAATATAATTGAGGTATTATATTACATTAGCCAACATTATGATACCATAATTATATTGTATTATATTATACATTCCTCAAGTAATTATGCATTAGGAGAAGAAAGCAGACACGTTTTTAAGGTAAAACAAAATCTTTAATTTAAAAAAAACCTGGCTCAGTTCTTGCATTTGAAACAGACATAAAAAGAGAATAGAAGAAATTAAATAGAGAGCAAAACAGATTATTATTGAGCCTATAGGTTAGAAAGAAACTGCATAGGCTATTAATTGGGTAATCCTTAACAATCCTAAAATGAAACATCCACAACATATTTCTACCTCAATTTGTATAGGGTTACAGCAAAATAGAATGAAACGTTCACAGGGTCACTGAACACAACAACATAGCATAACATTACAGGGCCTCAAACCAGAACAATCAAATAAAGTGGTGATTCAATATTACCCTCTCCTAACTGAAATGTGGCACATCACAACTTGACCTAGGCCTAGGTTCTATATATTTTTGTTCAAGAAAATTAGCATGTTAACGTGCTCTGGGGTAAGGCGTGTACGTAGCCTAATTGTGTAATTGTAGGCATAGGCCTACAATTACACATATAAAAACGATACAATTGAATGACAATTACGACCTATTTGCATCATTATTTATTTTATTCATCATTATTATTAGTCTATTGGATAGACCCTATATGTAGTTATAATAATTAATGGATGCATACCTTCATGCGCTCGCCCAGCGAATCTCGCACTTTTTCCTTGAAGTCTGCAACTTTGGGGCTGTCCTCGTCTGAAGCGCTGAGGTGAGTGTTGATTAGACTGAACGTGATGGGGTACGTGTTTGAGATTGACACCTCCGACTCCGCAGACATCACCATAGTTGCACACTTCAATGTTTCCAACACGGGTGCCATATCTTCCATTAGCTGCCAGTAGTCGTCTCTCAACTCCAGCGTCCTCGCATCTGCCAGTTTTGTCACGGATCGGTCTGATAGCACGGCTGACACAGCCCATCGCTGTTCAACCAGGCGCTCAAACATGTCGCAGACTGAATTCCACCTGGTTTTACAGGATTGAATGAGGCGATGCGGAGGAAGCGACATTTGGTGTTGCTTTTCTTCCAGGGCTTTGGTTGCGATTGTGCTGTGGTGGAAATGTTTGACCAACCTTCCCGCTGCCGCGATTGCTCTGTCTACCCCAGCAGAAGCAAAACCATCATTGACAGCGAGATTCAGGGTGTGCGCGAAACACGCTACTGATTTCCAGCTGACTCGTGTAGGATTGTTCGCTTGGACAATATTCCTAGCATTGTCGTGGACACATGCTGTAACGCGGCCGGAAAGTCGCCAAGTCTCCACTATATAATTCAGCTTCTCAGCCAAGTTGTCGGCGGTGTGTCTGTCAGACATGCTCGTCGTAATCAGGATTGCAGATTTTAACAGCCAGTTTTCGTTGGTGTAGTGGCAGGTAACTGTGATGAAACTTTCTGTTGTGAGAGCCGTCCAACAGTCTGTTGTTAATGCTACAGCTGTAACAGCAGCGAGCTTTGTTTTTAGCTCACCTTTCTTTTTTTCGAACCGAGCTTCGAGGCGAAAAGTTATAGATGTTCTCGAAGGGATGTTGTAACCTGGCTCTATGAACCCAATGAGATCCTGAAATCCTGCACCGTCAACTGTGTTGATTGGCATCGAATCCCTCTCGATCATGCTGCAAATCTTCTCTGTAATGCCCTCCGCCCTTCTCTCATCACACGCTCGCCTTCCAATGGTAGCTGTGATTTTAGGTTGACCAGGTGAACTGGTGGTTCCATGGAAGACAGCAGCATGCACAGTGTTCAAATGATAACTGAGTGAGCTAGTGGAACTGTTGTATTTCAATACCGCATTACAAAGAGAACATTTGACTTCTTTGCCTGAATTAACAATATTGAAGTGGTCCCACACCGCACTTCTTTTCACCCGCTTCATTTGGTTTTCAACCCTGGTCTCTCTCGCGACACGAGGCGTGTTCTCGTTCTCACGCTGTGTTCAAGTTACAGTAAAGCGCTAGCACCCTCTAACGGTTAATCGTGATTAATACATTTTGATAGAGCAACCTCTTGATCGACAATTAATCTAAAGTCGATTAACCGTTTGCATCCCTAATCTTGACCCATCTTAGCAGCTGAAACAGCACCTCATGAACTTCCAAGCATCTGAGGCACATGGCACATTTTTCAAGCAGCAGCTGCTGGAGCTTGAAAATTTTTATTTTGCTGCCCGATGCGTCACATCAGCCAATCAGAGAAGCTGATCTGGGAGCTGGCAGGAAAGACAGACACCGTTGCTCATGCAGAGAGATATGATCAATCCCCTGAAAAAGTTTATATCTACTTCCAGTAACCACAAACAGTAGGGGAAAACCCCCAGTAGGCGACTAGGCCTAAGGCAGGTTGTGCTGGCGATTCCCAGTGACAGTGCAGCACCGGTAAGTATGAGTGTGTATGCCACTGAGAGCGAAATAATATTTTAAGGCAGGATCGTCATCATAGGCTACGTTCACACTGCAGGCCTTGATGCTCAATTCTGATTTTTTGTGAAATCTGATTTTTTTTGCTTTGCCGTTCTCATTTCCAAATATATGCGACTTGTATGTAATCTCCTGTGTGAACTGCAGTCATACAACTCAAGTGTCCCACATGCGCAGTAGAGGATGCAATGACATCACAGGCCAGCGTGCCCTATGTTTACGGAAGTAAACATGGTTGGTAGTGCCGGAGTGCATCGAGAGGTCTTTTCCAACCATAAAAGCACAATCTTTTCAATATGGTTAAACATAAATACTGGTCCCTGTATCATCATCTGCCATGGTTGTTGTCTTTCTTGCTGCTTCTTCATAGCACGATACAGAATAGTGACCTTTATCAGGTATTGATGACACAGACACAGGTCGCATTTTAAAAGATCAGATTCGTATCGGATTCAGGACCACATAGCCAAGTGGCCTGGGTCGGATTGGAAAAAATCGGATCTGTGTTGTTCAGACTGCCATGAAAAAATCAGTTCATATATTAAAGATCTCTCCTTAATATGTGAACATTCTCTATCTGTTCTGGTTTGAGATGCTGCACAGACTGGTTAAGTGGGGCTTTGCTTAATAGAATGTGCCAGTGTTTTTCTATGAATTAATCGTTTTTTAAAAATAAATTTTCATAATCTGTCCAAATCCAAAGTGGGAAATTGTTTTAATTTTTGTATAGCACAGAGACAAAAGTAAAAAAAAAAAAATCTGCAGATCTGCCCATTCTGCCTAGTCAGAGCCTCTCTATACGCATTCAGTGTGAAACTGAAAAAAGTTGGAAATTAAAAAGTCGTACTTAACCTGTGTGTTCAGGCTTTTAGATGTGTATGGGATGGATTTCTAAGATCTTTGGATCATGCATCTTAGAGCCACAACAATATCAATGTCTCAGACTAATAGTGCAACTGTCAGTGAGTCAGTCAAATTAGTGTAAATAAGTAATTGAAATTAATTAATTGAATCTTTGATTGAACGCTTTGCTCTTAATTTTTATTAATTTAAAGTGTAATCTGTGGATTTCACTTGGATTATGTAGTCTTGTTTAGGATCTGTTTGTGTGTACTAGAATATTTATTTGCCCGTTTTGTACTACTGTTATCTACACAAACATCTAATTAAATTGACCATAACTTTGTTTTGTAAAGAATAAACCTGCACAAACTAATATTCACACAAACTTCTTCTCCTAAGTTTTCCTCCGTTGATTCTTTTAATACACACATGCATTTATAACACATGCATACACCTGCACATTCACACACAAATAGACTCTTAAACAATGTTATTATTTTTGCTTCCAAAGGACATGTTTTTGTCTGAAACTATGTCAGCTGTTGATGTTTGCTAACTAAGTTTTGATGTTTGCTGCTTAGTTTATCTATTTTTGTTAACTCAAGAAAATACCTGAATGTAGTTGCATGTGTTTCATTAATTTTGTGTTGGACGTCTTGATCGTGAAAACAGCTGTGCATTCTCCTTCTCCATTGTGTCCAGCTGATCTAGCTACACCTGCTGCATTTGATCACTCTCACTGGCATCTTTTTATACACAGCCTATATCGTAAACCAGGATGATAGAAGCACAAAGTTAAAAAGCTGCTATACCACGTCTACGTTGGGAGACGAGGAGGACATATGCGTTTAAGTCTAGAAATTCCTGGTGAAAATGTACGTAGCCTGAACCCTCTATGGACGCTACACCGGTATTGTCCACGAAAGTAGCTTAACTACTGAGAAGCTATTTCATGTAGAAAACAGCAATTTTACAACCACTTTATTGAGAAACAGGCTAGTAACGGTGCTACTGCCCATCACTGAAAAAATTATGAAAAAAGGATGAAAATTTAAAGCAGTGATTGCATTTCGACAGGATGGAGACTGAGACAGACCTTGAACAGATAGAAAATTTAAGCATATTTCTCACCTGAATGTTCCAGAGTTGTAGCAGACGTCCTTTTGGTCCCGCAGTCCCAGATACATGCTATAAAAGCACATTTGGGCCATTGGCTCCTTTGAGTAACTTACATGATGTGTGTGGCAAAACAGCCCATAAAGTGTTTTTTTTTTTCGGCAAGGAGCAGAATATTGATCTTAAACTGTAATAAATGAGTTAATAGACTAAAATTTGCCAAGCTGTCAGGAGATATTATATTATTGATCTTTAGGTTTTATATTCTCACATCCATTATTCATATTTTAACTGCTCTGAATTTGCAAGTTGTAAGGGATGATTTTGTGATACTTTGTAATGAAAAATATCTTTGTTGCCCTGTCTTTTAATGATGCAGGGTCTTGGATATGGTTGACCTTGTCATAACTCTGATTAACAAATGATTAAACGTCTGTTTTGCATGTTGAAGGGGCACAGGCTGCACAGTTATATGAATCATTGTGTTGCCTGATAAGAATAATAATATAGACAATCACTTATTCATCCTCTAATCTAATCTCTAACTCTGCAGAATTTTTTTATGGTGTCTAATTTAAAGGGATCATATCTTTATGACCAGCAAATCCTGTTAAGTTCTACTGTTAACTCAATTCTTTGTGCCAGCGCATAAGTTATTCATAGCAGTCACAGAAAATATGATGAAAGTATTTTAAGTGAGACATTGTTCTACTGCTGATACCAGTGGATGACCTAAAATAAGAGGTCTTTTTGGCCTTTCTGGAACTTTTTCTTTCATCACAAACTTAATGGAATCAAGAAATTTGTTTAACTGCTGGTCCTCTCATTTGTTCCTCATTCATTTTCCGTAACCATCATCTCTTCTTATCTCTCCTTATCATAATTGCTCTTTTTATTTGGATGGTTTCTTTTTTTCTGTTCCCTCCTTTTGGGAAAGGTGTGAAACAATGTCTGTATAAATGTGCTTTTAAATCTTGCTGTTAGCTCTTATAATTTGGTTATTTTCTGTGAAAACCTTACACGTTAATCCATTGAAAAACTGAAGATGTGACCCATATTTCCTTATTTCTGTGGCTCCAAGAGATGTATGCAAATCTGCCTATCTGCTAGGGCTGAACAATTTTGCCAAAAATAAAATTGCGATTATTTTTTTTACCAATATGGCGATTATATTCTGATTTTCCTCGTCACTAACCACAAGCTTGTAGAGGTTTTATTTTAGGGTTTCAGTTTTTTAATTGCCTTGAAAGCTTGCTTGTCCAGAGTCCAATGTTGCAGGGAGTGTACTCTAACCCTTTTGAGAAAATGTGCTTATCTGCATGCTAGCTGGAATTCTCCCCACCTTTTTGTGCTTTGTTAAATTGCGGTTATATTGCAAATGCAATTGATTGCCCAGTTCTACTAACTACCAGGTTTTTTTAATGTAAAAGTGAATATTTCGGTAAATTTATTGAAAGATTTTGTTCATGTTGCGCCATACATTCTGTAAAATTTAGATGAAAGCCCGGAATTATAAAAATTATAAATAAAAACTGCAGTAACCTGTCTGCATATTGTAAACTAAAGACACCCTTTTATCCCACTGCACCAGCATAGGGTCTGACAATGGGTGCAAGGATTTCAAACCCCGATACCTAATGGCAGTCAGGGTGCCATTGTCTAGCCTGTATAGGTCTGTGTGTCTCTCCATGGATATGCCTCCCCAGACCATCACTGACCCACCACCAAACCGGTCATGCTGAACAATGTTACAGGCAGCATAACGTCCTCCGTGGCTTCTCCAGACCCTTTCACGTCTGTTACATGCGCTCAGGGTGAACCTGCTCTCATCAGTGAAAAGCACAGGGCGCCAGTGGCGGACTTGCCAATTCCGGTGTTATGTGCCAATCGAGCTCCACAGTGACGGGCAGTGTGCACAGGGCCCAATAGAGGACGTCGGGCCCTTAGGCCACCCTTGTGAAGTCTGTTTTTTTTATTGTTTGGTCAGAGACAATCACACCAGTGGTCTGCTGGCGGTCATTTTGTAGGTCTCTGGCAGTGCTCCTCCTGCTCCTCCTTGTACAAAGGAGCAGATACCGGTCCCGTTGATGGGTTGTAGAGCTTCTACAGCCCTGTCCAACACTCCTGGAGTAATTGCCTGTCTCCTGGAATCTCTTCCATGCTCTTGAGATTGTGCTGGAAGACACAGCAAACCTTCTGGCAATGGCACGTATTAATGTGCCATTCTGGAGAAGTTGGACTGCCTGTGCAACCTCTGTAGGGTCCAGGTAGCGCCTTATGCTAACAGTAGTGACAGTGACCCTAGCTAAATGCAAAACTGGTGAAAAAGAGTCAGAAAAGATGAGGAGGGGAAAAAATGTCAGTGGCCTCCACCTGTAAAACCATTCCTGTTTTGATGGTTGTCTCGTTGTTGCCCCTCTAGTGCACCTGTTGTTAACTTGATGCTATACTCTGATTACAAAGTGTTCCTTTAATTTTTTTTTGAGTAGTGTAATAGTTCAAAGGAGTGCAGACCTATGCAACCCATTTTCTTTCATGTTAAAGTCCTGTTTAATTCATTCTAAACACATTTTTTTGTATTAGCAATAATGTCTGCTTATATGTGGAAAAAGTATTGAAAATATGTTTTGTGATCACTTTATTTCATCAGAAAAAATGGTTGAAATTGTAAACTTTCAGGTATGGTAAATCTGAATTCTGAACACAAGGTGGCAGCATAGACTAGAGAAAAAAGCCTGTTCCCACTATGTTGCCCGTTTAAAAAAACTGCTTCAGCTTTAGAATGACTACTGTATTGGTTTCAGATGATACACCCTGTTGCTTCAAATCAGACTAATGAGATATGGAAACATTAAGGCTTTTTCATGAATTAGCTGCTGTTTTCCAACCCCCTGTCTTTTCTGGCCTCAGCTGATGAATTATTGGGTTAATCTCCATTTTCAGGAGGGGCGTGTTCGTGTCACACTGCTGGCGCGCAGCACAGAATACAGAAGGATCCGAAACCAGGTGGAAGTAAGTTACACCCACCCTCTGTCTCTCTTTCTAACCCTTGTTTTCCTTCATCGTCTTTCTGTTTCCTTTTCCTCCCTTTACTTATGCAACTTTTCTGCTCCCCCTTCTCCCAGTAATCCTTCTGTCATTGATTTGCTCCCCAACTGCATTAAGTGCCTGTTTAAAATCTTAGTTGCTATAAAACAGTACAAAAAGGCTTGTGATTTATGTAGTGGTCGTCTGCTCACACATCCCTGTGTTGTTTCTACAGCTGGTCAACGCTCTTAAAACTGTACCTCTTCTGGAGGTCAGTGTGGTGGACTACAAATACAAGTAAGTTATTGATTGCTGCTTCACATCACTCATGAAGGAGACAGCTTTGGTTAATGACACATGAAAGGGTTTTGTTGTAGACTTAGTCTTTGACAGTGAAGGAGACAGACGTGAAAATCTTTGTTGTCTTTTAGGGATGTTCCCTTCCTGGAGCAGCTCAGCATCACCCACAACTCGGACATCTTCATAGGGATGCATGGTGCTGGGCTCACTCACCTCCTCTTCCTCCCTGACTGGGCTGTCATCTTTGAGCTGTGAGTGACATTTAGTTTTATTTCACAAACTCTTAGACTGAATGTTAGGAGAGGCGTCTGGAAAAGGGAGGGGAGTAACCATTTTGGCAGCGCCAGCCAGCTAAAGTACCTTTCAATCACTGTGAAATACCGCCTAATTAATCAGGCGCTCATCACACCTGGCAAGCCTTGGCAGAAAAAAAAAGCTCTTAGGCTGTGTGTTTGTGTATGTTGGGATGTCTAGGGTAGCCAATGTGGCATTTCTTTGTCTGTTTTGGATATATATGCATGGCACGAGAGAGTGAAGCATGATGGGCACACGTGCAATGAAGAAAGAACATGGCGGAGAGAACAAGAGCCTATTGTCTGCATCTGTCCCCTTTAGATATAACTGTCAAGATGAGAGCTGCTATCGAGATTTGGCTCGCCTGCGCGGCATTCGATATGTGACTTGGCAGAAAATGGACAAAATGCTCCCCCAGGACAAGGTAGGGAAGCACCAGCGGGAGCCATTATCCAAGTGGAAGCTCTTTGACTTAATTTTGCCCATCACACAGTGCCTTGTGAAGTTTTTTTGATTTGTAAGGATACATAAACACAAAGTGGAGCATAACTGTCAAACGGAAGGAAAAGGAGACAATGTTTTTAAAATGTTTAGCACAAATGATCTGATAAGGGTTTTGTGTGTTTAATTCAGATTCTGCATCAAGATCACCTTAACTGTAATTAAAGCTTGGTGTGTTTTGGGAAATGTATCCGTCAGCTTCTCTCATCTAGAGACTGCTTCATGTAGTTTCTAGCTGGTTTTCCCACAGCATTACCCACAGTATAACTCCATCCATCTTCCATCAGCTTCCCTGTTTCTGCGTCCCCTTTGAGGATGAGAAAACTGCAAATAGACTCCTTATGGCTTTGTCAAAAGTTCTTGTTCTTTTAAGGCTGCATTTGCATATTATAAGACCACTATTAGGTAAACATTTTTCATACCCTTGGCAGATTCATCTATTATCTTTATTCACCCTTTATGTTTATTTCTAATAGGAAATAAATCAGTATAATAAGCTGAAATCTATGATGAACTGGTTTGTTGAAAATCTTTTATACCCTTCTCAATAATTTGATAAATCTCTGTTAGTCTTAAAGCAATCAAGTCCTTGCTGACCTGCTTTTGCATGTTTGCTCTGATATGTTTGACAATTTATCTGCACTGATAAACTCGTTTTAGGAGACCCACTTGCCATAATGATCATCTTTAACTGCCCTCAAAGTTTCTTCATTTGTGCCACTTCAATGTGTTATTACTTATATGCAGAAGAAATGTGTTAGTAAAATAGAAAGATCACTTTTACAAAAAATTCTTACAATTTAAAGATGCAAACCAAAACATATATGATTATATGAGAAAGGCCTTTTCCCCTGGTTTCACAATTCTGCACTGCAAACCTTCGTAAAGCACTTTAGGTGCTAGATTCATTTATAGGTAAGGTATTAAAGATGACTGCTTTTGCTTTTTAACAGTTTGAAAACACAAACACACCTTCTCATACTTTTATACCTGTTTTTAATATTATTTTTTCACTATGGATGTCTTCTTCTATATCCTTTCCAGGGCCATCATCCTACTTTAGGGGACCATCCTAAGTTTACTAACTACTCCTTTGACGTGGGGGAGTTTGTGCGTATTGTGCTAGAAGCGGCTGATTATGTCACGCAACATCCCAAATGGCGTCGGAGTGTCCATCATGATGAACTGTGAAGTACCAGATGTCGCCTGCTGTGGAGCTCGTAACTTGAATGATAACGGGAGGGTGTTTTAAGGTGTTATTAAAAGTTATGTAACTGACCAGTAAATCTCAGTCACACAGTGTTATGCTTGTCACCTCTGGTCCACCGCTCTGATAGATCTTGATGAAAGAAAGAAGTATGGCGACAGCTCGTGTTTGAGTAGCTTTCACTAGTCTTATTAGTGTCACATCAGTTAAAGGGTGCGTGCAGTTGAAGCAGCTGGAGAGCAATAAGACGTCTCCCATGTTTCTTCATTACCTCCACAGCAGCCACTTCATTCCATGTCGTCAAAGTTGGTAAATGAGCAGCTGTTTTGGCACACCCTTCGCATGCGACATCCTGTCTTATTCCATCAGTGTCATGTTGACGGGAGCCTCTCGAGAGCTGCTGACAATCACAGTACAGTTTGTGAGCACAGCCAGCATAAACCAGCCCAAAGTCAAGCATTAAACTCTTAGCTGTATCCACACTTTTAAGTTTTTACCACCCAGTTAAAGTGTTTAGAAATACACTGCAATCATGGATCAATTTACAGTAACACTATATCTATGTTTTTAACATGTGGTGCTTTTTAAAAGTGTTCACAGCTCTTGAAGATTTACACATTTTGTCAGACTGAAACTACACTTACTTTCACTTCACCATATTTTATTTGGATTTTATTTGATACACTAACTCATAGTAGTGCATAAATGCAAAGTGGAAAGAAATAAATATACTTTTTTCATGTTTTTTTAGGAATAAAAATCTGATACCACTTAATATTGACAGACTCATTAGATAAGAGTCCAGCTGTCAGTAATTTAATCTGATTATGAAAGCAGCTGATCTATTAGGACCAAGAAACACAGTAATCAGGGATAATGTTTTGGAGAATTAATTTAAGTCATGGGGAAGTCATTCAGAGAAGCAACCGAAAGGTCCAGAACTCATATGGAAGACTTTCTTTACCTCTCAGCTATTAGTTGTGCATCCTACTTTTCTGGCCTTTGTGGAAGAGTTGCATGAAGTAAACCTGTGTTGTAACGGTCACAAGAAACCAGGTTTGCACCAAGCTAAATGAGGAAATGCAGAAAATATTTGGAAGAAGGTACCCCGGATGGCTGAGTATTGAAGTATGGTGGTTTAACCAGGGGGCATGATAAAAAATGCATGCCAGATTTAGAACAACAAAAAACTTGTTTAACTGTCCTTCCACTTTACAGTAGTGCATTACTTGTGTTATATTCAGTCTCATACAATCTCACACTTGTTACTGTGGGAATGTGTAAATACTCCAAGGATTTTGATATGTTTATGTTTAACACATCCCAGTTTACATTTATATTTCTTTTTTGTTGTGAAACTCTGAATTATTGCAGCAAACTGCACCTGACTTACAGGTGTGGTTCCAATGTTTTCATCACAACTAGAAAGGTAAAAACAGGATATTTGCACCCACTCTGCAGCTGGCAGATAAGTTTTTTTTAAGCATTAGTGTTAATGTTTGGTGTTGCACATACATCTAGTATTATTAAAGTAAATAAATTATGTGTTAGTAACTTAAGTTGAACTCTCAGTATAGATATCTGAGATCATGTTTGTTTACTTTTGTTGTTAAACATTTGTTTACATTTTTTTAAACTTGTGTCACTGTAAACATTTAAATCTTTGTTACTATTGTTTTTGATTACGCTTTTTTAAAATCTTTTCCTTATTTGACTAAATTAAAACCTCAGTGTCCTAAAAGTGACTTTGTGAGCACATTGGTTAGATCTGTATGCTTTTCTAAAGCCCCTGAATAGTATTGATATTGTGTGTGACACTAAATGAAGTAAAAAAAAGCAATTACTACAGTTTGAAATCAGCCTAAAGCAATAAGGAGTAGTTCTCTCTGTGAACACAGGTTTTTGATTAACTGCAATGTTTATAGTTTAAAATTTAAAAGCTGTGTACTATTTCTAAATAAACACTAATTTTGATATATGTCAAAGCCTGTATTTCTTTTTACATTAGGGTTTACATCACATTTCATTCAACTCAATGCTATCCATCATCTTGTGAGTGTTAACGATGGGAGGGAGGTTCTTGCAGATGCCATACATCTCTATGCTGCTGGTTTCATTATGTTAAGGAGCTGGCTTGCAAAAGAGGGAAAGAGCACTTTCTCCCTGACTTTTGACTCACTATAATAACTCTGGACAAGCTCAAAATGTGTCTGATTTAACTGTGGCAACTTAGCGCCACATGGGGGCAGTGTAACACCACACATCAGGCAACATGTCCACCCAGCGCTCTGGATGAGCTTTCAGTGGTTTTAATAGAACGGAGGCTTCAGAAAAACATAAAATAAAAACAGATTCAACCGAGAATGGATTTTTCCTTTTCAATGGTGCAACTTTAAGTCCTGTATCAGCAGCTTTTGCAGCAGGCAAAGATGCTCCAGTGCACTCAGCGGATGTTGTCTCGGAACTTTCTGAATATTGACAGACACTGAGCCCGTCTGGCAGTGAGACTATTTCTGGCCCTGGTCGGGTTGCTGCAAGTGACCTCGTGAAAGAATTGGAAAAAAAAAAAAAAAAAAAACTTAACGAGGATCCATTATTTCCAGTGGATCATCTGGTCCGATTTTAGAAAATAAAAAATATTTTTTCAAACAAATGTGTCATCAGACTTTTCTGCGCCGTCGTGCTACTGAGAGAGCGCACTCCTCTGACCGCAGGCGCAGTTTGCAACAAAATCTCAATTAGTGATGTTGCTCCTACACCTTAACATCCCTACAAGCAGGGATTATATTTTACCGCCTTTGGACTCAGCTTATTGTCATATATATAGTAGACATTTGCCTTTTAAGTGGAGAAATCCGGTCTTTCAGTAGAAAAGCAGACCTTATTGTGTGTTTTTCAACGACTGGAAGGCTCCAGCATAGAAACAGACTCCAGAAAAGAGATTTAACAGTAATAACTGCACACTCAGTTTGTCAGATACCACTTTTTATCCAAGAATGAGTTTGATTTTAAAGTAGTAGGGCCTATACCTTGGGATCATTTATTATTGACCCTAACATCTTATCCCCTGCAGCATATATATCAATGTAAATTGTCCACAGACTCAGGACTCCTGAATTTTCAGACTGAACCCTTCTGCCTTAAAGCATTAATTTAGGGGTTGGGACGTTTTTTTCCCAGTTAAGGCTCACGAGAATGGCTTCCTGTGACCTATGAATTAAGACGTATTGCACAATATTAGTATAAATATATTCTCAGTGAACGTATGTTAAATAGCACAATGACCGCTTCACTGCCCGTTCAAAACTTTTAATCTTGCAATCCATTTTACTCTAATGCAATCAATCAAAGCCACAATGTCTCATGTAGTTTTTTTTTTCAGGGTGTTTACAATACAATTGTAAAAAAAAAACTAAACAAATCATGCATTTCAATTATGTGAAAAAGCTCAGTTCAATGATTTACAAAGCGTTTTAACATAATAGGTTATATGTTTACATACTGGGAATTAGTGGTGATATCAGGTTGTTAAAGGTATGTGTCATTTCTCAGTGGGGTATTATTACTTAATTTAAGCATAAAGGGATACATTTTATGAGTATAGGAAATGGGATTTTGCCTAAATCTATTACAACCTATAGTCATCTTTGTTCACATATTCATTCATTCACACTGCAGATAAACAGGAAGGTTAATGCAGGAATATTGATCTTAACGGAAGGATTGTTCCTGAAGTTAAAAGCAGATTCTCCCATGGGGGTCGAGAATTATTCTATATTACAAAACTGGAAAGACAAACTCCAGCCTACATAATGTAAGCTTCACCACAACTCATAAGCACCGTTCTGTTCAGAACTTAAACACATGAAGGGACATATCGTTTTGGTGAAATAGTGCCCCCATAAAAGGAAAAAAACAACAACCCAGAAACAAATACGCATATCTAATGGGCGAGTAAAGAGTAAATTCAATTTTGCATCGTTAATCTGCGTCCAGAAAAGTGTTTGATGCAGTTTTCACTGATGCTATCAGGGCCATCCGATGAAGAGGAGATAAGTGCTGTTGGCTGTTGCCTCCATTAGCTGCCTGGCTTTAGGATAAAAGCCCTCCACCTCTCGATCCCCGCTGGGACATTAATGCTCTGCTCTGTAGATTGTTGAACAGACTGAGCACCAACTTTAAAATTTCCTCTATTCTACAGTCATTTGTTTGTTTATTGTTTGCGGATTTGTCCAAACCATACCAAATATATACTCTGTGACAGTCCGGAGCTGTCCGTGGTGCTGAAACCGAACCAAACATTTAGTTAGATACAGTACCTAAATTTCACAACTAGACTTACAAAGTGCCTCATTTCTGGCACACCTGCATTAGTACCTCATCTACACCCAGTTCAAAGCCAGACGGATCGATTCGTTATAGATCTGAGCAAGGATTAATCTGCTGAAAACAACACCGGTGCACTTTTTCCTTCTGTTCGCAGGTGGCACACTTAGTTCAAAGGTGTTTTGGGAACCAAAACGACATTGTTATCCCCTAAGCATATGTCGCGTTTTCTCCCCACCAAAACAAAAAATAAAGTAGGGTATCTTTCACAGAAGATCGCACGACCAAGGAGTGCTGGCAACAGGAGCGAAAGGGAGACATCTGAATGTATCGGATACCCCTCACCTCGGGTCGTTAGTGGACATCGATCTCCTCTAAAGCTTAATGACTGCAAATACAGCGCAGAACAATCAATCGCCATCAACACGCAGGAATATTCTGGGATGGGATAATTGATAGGCTGTCTCCTGGTGCGCAATGGAGATGCTGCGGTGATTAAATTCTGTTTAACATCTTGTTTCATCGCGGTTCAGAGATGGGAAGGAGGTTGGCTTACATCATCCTCGCCTATCTCTAAGCGTTGATATCTGTGCGTGATCTGGAACATGAGCACAGCGAAGGTGCTGGGCACACTATTAGATGACGGGATGGGATCCCTAAGGCATACAGCTGTCCATCTGCGAACAGCATTGATCCCCCACAGCTCATACACGCTCAACTTTACACACATATAACGAGTTGCTGAAGAGTAACAGGTCACACCTGTTCATCTTCCATTTGTGTTCAAAACCAATAAGAATTCTTATTGGTTTTTAAAAAGGTGAGGCTGTTGCAAGTTAAAAGGAAAAGGTCTGCATTTTTATTTATGTCGTTTTCAACTCCTTAAATGAGAGATTTGATAAAAATCATAACTATGGTAGGTTTATATGGAAAGCCAAGAATGCAACAGATAAAAATCTATGAAAAATGTTATAATTAAGTTAAAGGTGCAAAGTAACACAGATAATTAATAATAATGTAAGAGCATCATTCGTTTATCAATTGCAATGAATTAGCCTACCCTTGGAAGTATTAGATTTCTTTTCATATTTTTTCAACTGCTCCATGGAATAATTAAACCACTAAGGCTCAAGATTCTGTAATCTGATTAGTCAACCCTCTCATAATGCTGAGTTTAGTTTGTGTCAGAAGTCAGAGAGAGGATCTGCAAATTAAGTTACACCCAAGGTGTGTATAGGTCGGGGAACCAAATGGATTTACTATTTGATGTATTGCTTGGTACAATGGGGAATATTACATTTGCTTTGCATCCATTCAAGAACTCAAATAGCATTTTTATGAATAAAGGTTGTGTTTCTCCAAGTTTACTGACAATCCAAATGTCTGGAAGCCACATTGGATGCAACCCTACGATTGGTAAAGGCAACATTTCTTGTCTTCTTCCCTACAGTCCTGTTGGCTTTCTTGTTGCATTTCAAATAATTAGTTCTCCCACTCTCAGAAATGTAAATATAGGAAATTACATTGGCTTTAACTGAAAATCTGTGCTTTAGTCTTAAAAAATGAGCTTTTCAGCAACAAGACCTCCTTCTTGGTGAGATCAATTGTGGAACAGGGCTTCATGTCCAATGTTAAGTATGGTGGAGGATCTGTGACACTGTGGGCCTATTTGTCTTTCAGATAACCTGGTGACCTTGTTACAGGCAATACCAGAATGGACTGTTTAGAATATCAGGAACTAGAAAAAAGAGTATTTGTTGGACTCTACCAGAAAACGGACGATGAATGATCATTTTTACTATAAATTTCCTATACACAGAGGTAGGCCATTATTTTACTTTAAACCTTTGGTGTAGGGTTAGACTGTACGGATGACATGATGAGGTGTTTCACCACTGTGGGAAAATAACATATAGGATTTCTCTTTCTTTTTACAAAAATGTACACTAAGTTTTTTAAACTTTAATCACAAAGTGAGACATGTATTTCTGCACACCAACCTCCATAAGATTGAACGCTTCTCCAAATGATTTAGTATCGATTGTCTCTAAAACAATATGATTGATTACGTTTCCACTGGGGTCTGCTCTGTAAACTACATGACACCAGTGAGGGAGAAGAAGCGGGGTGTGGAACGGAGCCGGGTGAACGGGGCGGGCGCTGTTGCACGTGTTCTGAATCGGGGAGGACGAGCTCACATCGCGTTCCTCATGTCCAATCGATCCCCGCTCGGGAGGAGCGACGGGAGAGCATTGGAGTATCACTCCTGCATCCCTGTGCCCCATCACTCTCATCAGCATCTCTCCAGCGACAGCAGCGCATCTCCGTGACAGACTCAGGCAAACGGTTTGGTGATAAGCTGGAGGAGAAGAACTTGTTTGGAGCCGGAGCTCGCTTCGTGGGGGAATTACGCACTTCTGGAGACTTTTCTGCTCCTTCTGATCTTAACAAGAGACTTCTCACCTTTGCTGCTACTTAAGTTATTTTTTATTTTTTTTGTTGCGTTATTGGTGTCGGATCTGGACTAGAGGCTCGAAAGGATTGACTCCTTAAAGTCTGGAAGTTGAAGCTGAAAAGTGAATAAGCGCTCCTCTCACTTGGATCCCGTACAGTGCGCACTGATCATGCCTCCGATATTGTAGATTCGGGTAA